GAACTAAGGCCTGGCCCACACTTAGCATTCCTCATTCAGCGAAATTGAAAATTCCATTGCTTTTTCATTGCTGTCGTCAATTGTAAGCCGAGTAAATTCTAATTCAGTTTGTTTTCTTGAGGTTAAGCGTCGGACTGGAAAAAAATCCATAAAAATTAGAAAAATTAAGATAGGAGATAGAAGACATGTTTAAGGGAGCAGTCTGTGTTTCATTCCTTAGCTGTAAACACAAGCCAACTGCGGCATGCGTGTAAGGCTGGGAATCATTCTGATGATTAGATTTTTGTGAGTACGAGATGTCGAAAAATGCGAGACTGTGCGGGAAAAGGAAGCGCGAAAAAGTGGGGAGTCTTCGCATTTTTTGTTATTAAAATTGAACTATTAGAGTTAGGAGTCATATTTATTGGCTCACTTATGGTTTGATACAGTGGCGCATTTTCACTTTCTTCCGCAAGCAGAGATTCACTTCAAGTTTGGCTCCTTTTTTCTGTCAAATTGCTCCCTTTGTTGCGTGGGAGATGTTCCATTAAGCGTAGAGCGAAAGGGGAAGTGCTGATGGGGTGGTTCAAGCGTTGTTTTCATCAAACACAAGATTTCAGATTCGTTTGCTGTTTTTCGATGGCATTTTTGCGCGATTTTATGTTTTAATTTAATCTCACTGCCTATGTTTTGTTTTCGGTTCACGTTTGGGTAACTACTAAAATTCGGCTCGGCTAGTTTGGCAGGCAAGTTGCGATGACTGGGAGTGGAGAGGATGAGGGCTGGGGGTGCCTGGGGTAGGGTCTGAGGGTTGGGGTGGTGGTTTAGGGCTGGACGCTGCAACAGAGGGGAGTGGACAGGATTATTGGCTGCAGATGAGCTGATATCCCACTCGGAGACTGGAACAAAGGATGGACGGCGGGGTTTGTAAGGGAAAGACCTATACAAGTTTTTTACCTTAGCCTGGAATTTGGTGTTGAGGGAAGTGATTTCGCGAAATCTTGAGCGAAACCAGTGCCCTGCCTGGGCGATGGGAATCTTAGAGTTCTACCAGGGCGAAGGGGGTCTTACTTGCAATCTTACCTGGGCAAAAACACTGATACCACGGTCTTCGCAATTCGAACCTAAACCCTCAAAATTAGATGTATGTGTTGTGCGACCGAGCCGAATTTTATTAGTTGCCCCATTTTGCACTGTTTCACTCATTACTCTATGCGATGATGCGTTGTTCCGGTACTTTCTTTGCGTGAAAGATGGGGGTTGTCGTTTCGGCTCTCCTTGGTACTCCTCTGTGGTGGTAGCAGCATATGCGTGGTTCTTCTACAGATAGGCCATTTGGACGTGTTTTTTTTTGCATTGTATTAGGGCCTTTTCCCGCACGTATGTATAGATTAAGTCACCAAATTTTCAGCCTTGTAGCTTTTGTGGATCTCGAGATGAAAACTCGTTACAGATGCACACACAGACACACACACATACATACACACAGACACACACACAGACAACTCCTCGGCAGTATGCGTTTTTGCATTGCATAGCTGCAAAAAACGCATAAAAATTTCAGTTTTCGTGCTATCAGAACATTTTTTTTAAAATTGTTTTTGCTTGGGAGGAATTTCGCGCAGCTGCTATCCATCATCACCATGGCGTCCGCTCTCTCGCCCCTATCGACGACGCGGCTCACAACCCCTTCCCATTTTGCTCAATTTCGAAAACTCATCACGTCCCCGCAAAGCCCTCGCTTTTAACATCACTATATTGTCCATCATTCATCGTACATTATTTGTCTGATTTCAAACATTTCGCTTATTTTTGCACACAAAAGTTGGCTTTTTTTCAATTTTTCACTACCCTGCCCTGTGCCTCGTTTTAGGAATGTCTTCGAAGAAGAAAACACCTCGCAAAGGAAAAAAAGGAAAAGGAAAAGTCCTAGTACCAAAATGGAAACTGTTCCGAGCCAAAGAGCCGCTTCTTTCCGTTTTCATGTGGGGTGTCAATCATTCAGTAAGTTTCTTCAATAATCCCTTTATCTGTTTACTTCAACGCTCCGCTGAGAGTCTTCGTTTGGGATGAGCTGTAAAGTATTGCTGCAGGAAAATCGTAGTGTCAGGTCACCTACAAAATAATGAAAAACAGCTTGACAAGCCCTGTGTGCAAAGTAATAAAATTAAACTACAAAAGTTTTGTTTCTGGAATATAATTTGACGCTTTGTTTATTATGCTTTTTTTTGCTTCTTTGCAAAGAGACATTTTGATACGAAGAGGCATTTTTTTGCACAGCACACCGCCGACTTTTGCCTCAATCGTCATTGTTTTTTCTGACAGATGCTTCTGGCTAAAAGAATTGAGATTGGCCATCACGACTGTGAGAAAACATACCCTTCAGATTTCCAGCTTTCTAGTTTTTCTGGTTCCAGGATAAGCAACTTGCCCGCCAAAGATTTTCACGTGCTTGTACGCGAATAGCACATACATCTGGGAGCTGAATTTGAAGTTATTGGAGTGGTAAATGTCCCTTTAAGATTTCAGCTTTCTAGCTTTCTGTTTCCCGAGTTATCAACTTACTCGCCAATAATTTTTGCGGGCCCATATGTGGGAACCACGCAGGCAGGAGCGTCCATTTTGGGGACAGGGCCCGTGCGTGCGTGTAGAATAAGTTTCCAAAGTTTCAGTCTTGTAGTTTTTCTGTCTCGAAATAAAAAACCGGTACAGACGCACATACAGGCACACATGCACAGACAGTCCCTCGATAGCATATTTTTGCAGTACGTAGATGTAAACGTAGTCAAAAACGTACCGGCTGCCGGTACGAGAATGCGTTTTTTGCACAGTTCCCCTGCAGGTTTTTTTCGCCAGCGACACGTTCTTTCCAGCAGATGCTTCTAGCTAAAAGAATTGGGACTGGCCACCACGACTGCTAGAAATAATTACAATGATTCTCAGTCCATGCCCAAAAATTCAGTACTCTGCATGCTTCGGTTGCGGGGTTAGGCCAAATTTCAAGTGTTCGTACATGAGTAGCAACGTGAGTGCTTTCTTCGCTTGCGGTTACTTAAACACGACCCTAGATAGCGCTCAGAAAGTTTCAGTACTCAGGCTGCTCTGACTGCAAAGTTACGTCAAATTTCATGTGTGTACACGTGAAATGTACGTGAGACGTGAAAGTTGTGTGTAAGTAATTTTTACGTGCATCTGATCAAAGGTCACCATCGGTTGTGCTCGAAAGTGCAGGTCCTTTGGCGAGTTCAATTCTAAAGTTACAAAAGCGCATGCGTGAAGCTTTCACGTGTTCGTACGTGAGATGCAGAAGAGCTGACAAGTTATTTACTTTCACGGACACGACAGTGGGCGACAAGTAACGCTGCAGAATTGCAGCTCTCTCCAGTTTATTGATCAGCTTGAATCTGGAGTTGGTGTGATGCCATTTTAAACCTTAAACTTTGACGTATGCGTACGTGAGACTTGAAGGTGCGTGAAGGCTGAATTTGAAATCTTTGGATTAAACGCTGCCAAGGAATAACTCTGTGAAGTCCCAGCCCCCTAGCATGGGCCGTTCCCGGAAACGCTTTCCCGCCAAAAAAACTCATGTGCCCCTACGTGAGAACCACGCGGATGTGAGCGTCCATTTTTAGGATACGAGCCCGCACATATGTGTAGATTAAGTCAACAAAACGCACACACACACACACACACACACACACACACACAGACAATCCCTCGACAGTACGCGTTTTTTTATTGCATAGCTGCAAAAAGCGCATAAAAACTCACGTTATCCCGTGGTTATTTGTGTGTCTGTCCACATATTTTGATTTCCAGACGTGCGATGCCTACGAAGCAGAAATTTTGGTAACTTTTTCTGCCACCACAGTTAGGTCCCTAGACATGAAACGAACTTTAACGCCCCTGAATTTCATTAACGTTTTCACTGAATCACTTAGGACATCTGTCGTTGCCTGTTCCACTTCTGCCATCTTCCGATCGGTCAGTCAAATTGCCAGTAGCTGTCCAGAAAGCTCAATTTTATTTGAGTTCTACAATTTTATTTGAGTTCTACAGTTCTACAAAAAAATCTATTATTCAATGTTGTCAAAAAGTCAATGTAAAAAATGAAAATTAAAGGCAGCGAAGAGTGAAATTACAGCTAGGATAATGAAATGAGTGATACAGCAAAGGCAAAACAGATATGATGGTAGGGCGAAAGTAGAGGAAAGAGGATGAAAAACGCGCTGACCAATGCAACATACTGGCAAGCGAAAGGAAAAAATTTAAAGGATAAAGAAATAAAAATAATCCAGAAATTTAACGTAATACTCTCGATTTTTTGATTGAATTGCTTTAGATCAGTGAGCTAATGCATGTGCCGCCGCCGGGCCTTCTGATGCCGGATGATTTCAAGGCTTCTGTTAAAATCAAAGTTGACAATCACTTTTTTAATAAGTAAGTGGCCACCGTTTGGTAAAAGATCGTGCACGTTATTAATTTTTTTTTCGAAAAAATATAAATTTAAAAGTGTAAATTTTGCAACCTGGATTATGCACGCGAACTCTTTGTGAAAAAAGAAGTATTAGAAAAAGAAAAAAAAAGAAATACATTTTCCCTGAATGAAAAGAAACTTCCCCGAAAATTGCGCTGAAATTGCTAATATTTGTTTTTTCTTGCTTCAAAAAGAAGCCAACGACAGCCTTGCCAGTGGGTGATTGATATGTGCTGCTACTCCTGCTGTGCCCGGATACCTCCATCTCTCACAGGCAGTGAATGCCAGGAGGGTTATTATTTTTGGCTTTGAAGTTTTTTTTTTTATTTCGATTTAAAAGCCTAAGAAAGGGTAACAAATGTAGAAGAAGGAAATTATTTTTGTTTTGCAGGGACAACATGCCAAGTCATTTCAAAATCAAAGATTACTGCCCAAATGTCTTCCGAAATCTTCGCGACCATTTTGGTGTTGATCAAAACGAATATTTGGTATGCTTTTTTTGTTTCCTCAAATATTTATAGGTATTAAACATGAAGAACATTCATGCTTACGGTGGAAGGCAAGTTTAAAGAGTGGAATGAGGGGAGTTATTCTTTTAAAAGATAAAAATTGGCCAACGCACGGGCTGCCCGTGCGAAGATGCGTTTTTTGCATGGTTCCCCGTA